AATGGAGTAGGTGTGTCGATCGCTGTCTGAGTCTCCTCAACGAGCTTGCCAGATAGACATGAAAGCGCAGAAGATCTTGTGTTTGGCAGCGATTATGGTGAGTGGGATATCTGAGTTGATGGAAGGGTGACTTGTGGCTTCTTTAGCTAAAAGAATCGACCCTTTCGTTACATTGGGTACCTTGATGACTACCCAGCATAGAGACACTTGCCTGGAAAGAAGATAGGGTAATAAGCACTTCTTTTAATGAAGAGATGCGGAAGGCTTGCGCGCCGTTCTTGTTCAGTGCCTGTAGGACGCTCATGCTGTCCGTGTAGAAGCTAATGGATGGAAAATTGATGTTGCCTGCCCAGAGAGCTGCCTTCTTTAAAGCAAAGGACTCAGCCTGAAAACCGGTCATACCACATACCATATCTGCGATCATAACATCGCAGATATTTGTTTTCAGACTTTAAAATTTCAGATGCAAGTTCGCATAATAATTTGTGTGCGCAAGAAGCGACGTAGAATATTTTTACCTCTGTATTTTATATTTGTGAATTATCTAATAAATTTTTACTGAAAAGAAGAAATTAAATCATTCCAAAATTTAAAATGAGTAGAAAATTAAAGCTACTTATAGCTGTTAATAGAATTTGAAACTTGTATAACACTGTTAAAAGTTATTATTTAAGTAATCTTCTTTTATAAAGTTATATTAGTAGTAATATCTTTTATAAAGCTGGGCTGATACTGCGAATATGCATTTTTAAAATCTGAAAATACATATTTGCGATGTTATCAACATGCAATGATTTTCAAGCGCATTATTTTTTACCACGACTATATTTTAAAACTGCGATGCTCATGAAAAGCTTCATTTTCTATGAAGATGTTTTAGGAAATGACGTTTTAGAACTACGATATTTTCTCATTGCGTTGTTTCCTTCGCGGTGTTTATGTCCACGATGTTTTTGCTGCGATGTTTTGAGTGGATACCACTTTTATCTTATTGAATAGGTTGTGTAATATTGTTTTGTAGTCAGACTGAAGAGTGAATAAAAAGGTTTTATTTTAAAACTTCACCTAAATTGTATTTACTATAATTTTGAAATAAGAGGATGCAATAATTTGTCTGTCTGTTTTTATCTTTCTAGGAATTGCCATTTTAGCTAACGTGGAAACGTAAAAATTCTAGAGCTCTACTGAGAAATGCGAAGCTCAGTCGACTAAATCTAGATGGTGAAGATTTATCATACATCGCATTTTAGTTTGAGATGATATACAGAGTATTAGGTTTTGTAAACCTGGAAACATGAAAAATAAACTGCGGCCTCACCATGGTTAGAGCCATGGATCTTCCACTTGCTAGCTGGGTGTATTAACCACCGTACAGAGAATGGTGAAATTGCTATGAATATTCATTTCGGAGACTGGATGTAATAAAAATGAAACAAGCATCTTACTTGAAGCTAAAATGAAAAAACGAATATCGCTAATTCGTTATTAAGTGCGCCAAGATGGCAAATTCAAAAGAAATTTTCTCGAGAAATGCTTTTTTCTCCCGTCTTCTTTAGATGGCAAATCATTTTTTTTAATGTAAAAGATCGTTCTCTTGACATATTTTTATAATTCATGTTATAAAAGACGGCGAAACATTTGTTTTACAATCTACAAAAATTTCAAAACTTTATGTCCGAAGCATTTTTAGACGTTGAAATTTTAATATCACAAAATGCCAATTAGTCTAAAAAATTCCAGCGATTTTCAAAAATTAAGTTACAATTTTCATACGAATTTCATTAAAAAGATTTCTTTCGGCTCTATTCGAGGGTGTAAACATTAAAACTCTGATACTCTAAAACGAAGATATGGGAGAAAAATCGATTAAACATTGAATAAAAAGAATTTAAATCGAATTTTGATAAATTACTTCACCACAATGCGTTGTCATCGACGAATAACTCGCCAGCTCATCAGGAGGCAGGTTAAAAATGGATGGCAAATTCCACCCACGGTGGAACATCAAGAGTGAACTAAATAAAAGCTTATAATTAAAAACAAACTTGAATTTACATGGTCTAGAAAAGACAGGATAACTGGAAATCTAATGCATCTCCACTTTCCCAAAGTTCACTTTACTTTTACTAATAGGCTGACTGAGCAAAATCTCAAAGTCATTTTCCAAATTCTTCTGCAAACACTCTTTTAAAAAAGTCTGTCTTCGATAAGGTTAATATTTCAAAAGTCCCTTTTCTCAATCCATTTGAACCGCTGGCAGTTCGATTTATTCTGCAGGCAATCAATCGTTTGCTTCTTTATCGGAAAGTTTTATTTCCCAGCATCTGTGCCGTAAAACATATTTAAGAGCGTCCTCGAGAGAACCTTCGTTTAAGCTGAAGGTCAGATTTAAGCGCCATCGGGACCCGAAAATATTTAGTCTCGGCAAACGTGGTTAGAATCAAAGCCTTATTTATAAGCAGTTCCAGATAAATTTCAGAAACGTTATAAGAGTGTAAAAAGGAACAAAATTAGGATTGGTGTCTATTCAAGTTGTTGGATTAGTTTTCACTATTAGTCGTAAAACTATGAGATAAGCTGTGTTTGAAGAAAAAATATTTTGATTTCTAGTTTCAGTAACTTCGAAAGGGATTAAAAAACTCTCGCAATCGACGAAGTTTATCTACCCATCTGTCCATTTCTCGTAATAAGAAAATGTTATAAATTTAGAGTCAAGATCTGAAAATACTATATTGGCTTAATATACTGTAGCCCTAACGAATTGTTTCCAAGTGTGTATGTGTTTTATCGTGTGTTCTCAAATTAAGCACGATGGGTTGCTAATTTTTATTTCCTTGTACGAAGTAAAGGAAGTATTGTAATCGCGAAAAATTTCGGGTATCATATTCCGACGAAAAAATCCATTTTGACCGCTCTCGAATCCATCGGTACCATGCTTTGCGTGTTATCTGTACGTACGGACAGAATAAAGGGCTCTTTTTTTACCAAACGGATTGTAAAATGGATTTAAAATAGATTTAGAAGAGTTTTTTCCCGAGACATCTAAGTACGCATATGTATCTCGCATAACTCAAAAACGAACAACCTCAGAACATTGAAATTTTGTATTTGGGACTGCTATAACATCTAGTTGTACACCTCCCTTTTCAGTTGCAATCGGCCTCACCAAAAGTATATACATATATGTAATATTAAGAGCACATACAAAAGCCGGAGCACTGTCGCTGCGTAGTTATACTAAATTGAACAGGAAGTATTCTAATTGCGTCGTAAGCTAATGTGTTGACTTCGTAAATAAAACTTGGCAGTCGAGGCGATTTTAATTCCATTTTTATTTCCAACTGATATTTGTGGCCACAATCACTTGGCATTCTAGTCGTGCCTTTCCACAGAAGATTTACATTTTTGATATTGTTGAGATAGAAAGCAAGCCGGCAAAATTGCATCTTAGCACAGTAGAGAGCAAAGCTGAAGTGCGAAGTTATGCAAGATGGAAGCACGTGAAGAGAAAAGTTTTGATTTGCAATTTGGTGATTGGTCAGAGGCATCTGCACTAAGGGTTACGTGAGATCGCATGGTTAATTTGAATGACGCAGTTTATACTAAAGCGCTATTTTTAGGACAGATAGATGAAATTTAGAAGTTTATTTATTTATTTATTTATTTTTTATTATTTAAAGAAAAAGAAATCCCCGTGCACCACAAATTTAGAAGTTTGCTTTCATATTTTTTATCTTACACAAATCGGCCTCACCAAAACTATATAGTATGTCATATTTCTGGGAAGCATAAAAGAAGAATCAGCTTGCAGTCGTCGTAGCAAAGGGTGAAGGCTTACGGATGAAGATAACAAAATATGAACTTAAGGAATTTCCAGTCTTTATTTCCACGGGGCCCACCAGCGGCCGAGCGGTAAAGTCGCTGAACACTGGTAGTTCGGTCCGAGGTTCGGATCCCGCGCACGGGCTGGCTGCATGGGCGTTTTCGTGGTTTTCCCCATGTGTAACGTGTATACGAGCCAGTTTTCCTTAGAAAGTCCTCCACGAAGGCATCTCTCCCCTTAGGCAGATAACCCTCGAAGCTTTGCCATAATCACACACACACCTTTATTTCCACGTGTATAAAATCATCTCCATAGATGTTTATCCAATTATAATGAAGTATGATAAATTGCTATTTACATTGATTCTTCAATTTAAGACGCAGGCACTTTAGACGGAGAAGCAAAGCGATGAGATATTAGCAAGGTGGGAACTAGCAGAAGAAGAACGCAGTCTGAAGAAAAATGGCATGTACTCCATATTTATATTAGCGGTTATATAGCATGTCAAAATGTTCTCAAAGTACTGGTCTAGGGAAAGATCCTGAAATTGGGCAAAGTTGCCTGTTCACTCAGAGCTAAGCCATTGTATTTTTTATATAGAGAGAGTTATCCCTCGTTTTTCGCGATTAATGGGCACCAGAACCTTCCGCGAAAGCTGAAAAACCGTGAAGTAGGATTTGCCCTTAGGAATTTTGGTGTATGTGGGTACAAGAATGTTTTAAATGTGTAAACAGTATTTATACTTTACACATTTAAGACAAAAATTACAACAGTATACGTATTTACTTAAACGTGTCAGTGCTAATTAATAAGGTTAATTACAAAACCTTATACAGTAATAAACATTAATCAGCTTTGTTTTCTGAGAGGCGAAGAGTCATGTGTTGGAGGCGGAGGAGAGGCTCTCACTTGACTCGTAGAAGCTTTAGGCTCACTCCGGAGACTCTTCTGCTGGAGGCGCTGACGGTAGAGCCGGGGGCCTTACCTTGGAGAGAAACATAGTGATGGGTAGTTGTTGTTTTTGCTTTTTCTTTTCCTTCAAAATTCCCCTGTACAAGGACATAACCCCGTCAATGCGATTGCTAAACTCCGCAGCTCGAACCATATTGTCGTCAATGTCTCGTGCAAATTCTTGCATCGCTCTTGCCATAGATTCTTCAGGGTAAGGCCACGCTTTTCAGTTTCTTCTTCGTCTTCCTCTTCCTTTTCTTCCCCAATTGCAGACTTTTTCCATCTCAAGGAGGTCTTCATCGGTCAGTGGATCCGAGTGGCGATCGATAAGGGCGCTGGTATCTTCTTTTGTCATGTCGACAAATCCTTCATTCCTTATGATGTGAGCCAGCCTCACCGCTGAGTGATGAACTTCTTCAGGAGTGAAGCCTGGATAGTTGTGCACTACGTTCGGCCATAATTTCTTCCAGCTAGAATTTATGGACTCACTCTTCATGTCCTTTAATGCTCGCTGAATATTAGATAAACATGAGACAATGTCGTAACTGCGCCAGTATGCTTTCAAGGTGAATTCGTCATTGGCTTCGTCAACTGCCGAGATGAGGCCCTCCATCGTGGAGCGAGTGTAGAGTGCCTTAAAGGCACGAATGACACCTTGATCCATCGGCTGAATTAGAGATATAGTGTTCGGGGGTAGAAACTCTATCTGCACACCGTCATATTGCAGGTCCGTTGCATGGCTTCCTGCACAGTCCATCAGGAGAAGGACCTTAAAGGGTAGGCCCTTTTTAGCCAGATACAGCTTCACCTGAGGAATGAAGCAATGGAGGAACCATTCAAGGCTCAGAGCTTTCGTTATCCAGGCCTTGGAGTTATGCATCCAGAACGCGGGCAACAGAGCCGTATTTTTAAATTTTTTATTGGCTTTATAAATAAGGCCTGGCTTAAGTATAAAACCTGCAGCATTGCCAGCCATGATGACAGTCACATGATCTTTGTGAGCCTTAAAGCCTGGCCTCTTCACTTCGTCCTTGAAGAGGAATGTATACGAAGGCATCCTCTTCCAAAAAAGGCCTGTTTCATCCATGTTGAAAACTTGTTCAGGGAGGTAGCCTCCCTTAGTGATGAGGTTAGGAACTCTTCTTCCACGTAACGACAAGCAGCATCGTTGTCAGCAGAAAAGCCTCATCATACAGAAGCACGTTTCTGAGGTCGTATAATTTTTTGAAATTTTTCGAACCAGCCTTTGCTGGCTGAAAAGCCTCGTCCTCGAGGAGGCGAATCACTCCTGGCAGCGCTATTTAATGGCTTGAGGTTCGTCAGCACCTTATTCAGCCTCTTCATTGTCGTCATAAGGCAAGATTTGGTCGAAGAGAGCTTTGGCCTTTGTCCTGATCATATTAGTGTCCAAACTCACTGTCTTCTTCCTGCAATAAGCAATCCATAATGCCAGCGCAGCTTTCATTTTCACAATTCTGTTATTACGCGGAGTTACCACACGTTTTGCTTCTTTATTGAAGGTTATTGAGGCAGTTTTTCGGATGTTTGCTTTTTCTTTCTTGATGTACTACACTGTAGATTCATTCGCTCCGTAATGGCGTAACACAGATGCATAACTTCTGCCCTCTCTGATCATACCTAAAAGTTTCACTTTTTCGCTGATGGTCATCATCTTCTTCCTCTTAGGCGCTCCGGAAGAAGCTTTCGTAGGGGCACAGCGCTTAGGCGGCATTATAAGGGCTTAATTAATAAAAAAAAAGTCATCGCCATCACAACACTAAATTATAGTATGTGAGACAGTCAATATCATGAGCAAGACTGGCGAGATACAACAAGAGAATATGCTAAGTGAGACTTCGATGATGCGCAGACAATCAACTCACAGAGATAAATCCATTCGTACTCTCATTAGTCGATGTCGCACCGGAAACCAGTCACGCGCCTTTATACTCTGAGTCAACTCATCTCTTTGTTTGGTTACATTTTTTCACTTTTATTTTTTGATGAAAACCCACGAAGAACTGAAGCCGCAAAACATGAAGCGCGAAATGGCGAAGGAACACTGTATATACCCCTCCCTTTGTTACCCGACTCGCTGAGCTCAAATTTTTGCATTCTTATATGTTGGTAAATTGTGCACTTTTTGCTTTAAAAGTGATTGACTTATGTTGTTCTTATGTTCCGGTTAAGGTTTGTGCCTTTAGTTAATCTGCATGCAATAGTTGTATAATTATCGACAATTTAAAAGTGCTACTAAGCCTAATGGAGTAGTCATTTGTTTACATTTGAAACTCTTATTAGAACAGTGAATGAAGTCAATTTCTGCACCAAATTCAGTGTCTTTTTGCCGAGCGGGACCAAAAGTAAACTTTCAGTTTTGTGCACCGAAAAATCAGCCTTTCTTCCCACTGGCTGATTTGCTTGTTTCTGCGTATAAACTCTAATTATAAGTATAAAAATTGTTTTTTTTAACTGTATTCGGTGTTTTATGTTTTTTGTACTTTACAATTTTTAATGAAGATGATTTCAGTTTTTATGTACTTTTAATTTGTCGTGAAGCGAGAGCGGAATTAATTGAATGAGCGACATATTTGTAATGAAATTCGAGGAAATAAGTTTAAACGAAATGCACCAAAAAATCTATAATTTAATAGGCCGTCACGGAAGTCACGGGGTGCCCACATCAGATTTTTTATTAACAACTCGAAGAAGACGAATTTCTTTCCCTCACTAAATGAAAATTAATACCATTTCATATGAATTATCGCAGTGCCACTTTTTCAATACTGAAAAGTCGGGAAGTTCTGAAACGTTTTGTTTCCAGAATTCGGATTTATATAGTATATTTTTTAGCAAAAAGTACTGAATTATTTTCACTTTTACAAAACATTTTATGCCGATGTCCGTGGTGATCCTGAAGGAAAATTTTTATAGAGGCTGTTAGAGACCTATAGAATTACCATGGAACTTTATGGACCATGGAAAAAGTAAGTTTCCATATAAATGCTTCTCTATAAAATTCTGTAGAAATTTTATAAAGCTTTCACAGAACAGAATTCTACAAAAATGTTGCTTTGCAAAGTCATGCAGAAATTTTAAAGTCTTTAGAGAATGATGTTTCACGGAAATCTACAGAGTTTTCTAACTCAAAGCAAATTTTTGATTTCCGATGCACTATATGAGACTGATTTGTTTTTGAATAAAAATGTTTACTCTTTTTCTTCGAACTTGAAGTTTTTTAGCTTCTAAATTTATGTGACATTTTTCTGCAACTTTTTATACAGTATAGATTATATAATACAAAAATTAATTTTTTAAAGCATAAAATCAATCTAAATCATAAAATTAATAAAAGGAGTAAATTTACGTTGCTCGTTAAAATTTAATTTTTGAAATGAATGCCTTTAATTATTTTACATGTAGCTTCGATAAGAGAACTCGTTTCTTATTTTTAAAAAAATCTATCAATTACTTAAAATATATTTATTTTTTATACGCAATACCAGAAGTCATTAGTCCACGCCTTTTGTTCTGCATCGCGCGCCGTAACTTCTTCAGTGTCTTACATTAAGCTGCAGCGTCGATTGTTGTCCCTCGTTGCGTCAAATCCTCTAACAAAATTCCTTGACAGTCTCAAAACGCGCATATGATTTTTCTTGAAGAAAGAAATGGCTTTGCTTTCTTCGGTTTCGGGGAACAAGATTGCCGCCATTCCAATGACTATCGTTTCGTTTTAGGTGTCTTGCAACAAATCTGTTTCCATCGCTTGTCACAATTCTTTTCGGAACATCATTTCCTTCTGTCGCTACAAAAACTCCAAGGCTGCTGCTATGCGTTTTCGTTGTTGGATGTCCGTCAGTGTTTTCGGTACCCAGAGCAAACGCAGTGTTTGTAGTACAAATGCTCAGCCACAGTTTCGTGTAATAAAAATAGTGAAATATTTTGTAAATGCATTCACAAATCAGAAATCGTGAATAGCCTATTTGAACAAATTTTTGGGTCGATGCAGTGCACTAATTCCTTGATCAACGACTGACCTCCACTGCGCTTCTTGTCGCGGATATTTTCCCTACCTTCGTTGAACATCGGCCTCTACCTTCATTCATTGCGTTCTCTCTGTATCTTTCACTATCTGACGATGAATTTCACAAGATCGGACATTTCATGCATTCAAAAACTTGATAACGGCTCTTATTTCGCAGCTGGTGGAGCGGTCGATTGTTTCAAACACGATTGACGACAAAAACTAACTTCAAATGTTAACATAAGCGAACAAAATAGCTAGGCTAATTCGTTCACGAATTGAACGATACAAGTACGCATGCGCGATCATCGTGTGGTCACACGCGCGGGAGATACGTGCAAACTGTGCTTACTTTCTAGATCAGCTTCAGTGGCGTAGCTATGGTGGGGCAAGAGGGGACATCTGTCCCCAGGCGCAGCATCCAAATGGGCGCCAAATAGATTCTACGAAATTTTAGAATAAAGTGTTTTCCATTCGTGGCAAACAGAAAGGGGCCCAAAATCTCCAGTTGTCGCCGGGCGCTGAAAACCCTAGCTACGCCTCTGATCAGCTTAATAGTTTCCAAAGTACGCTGTTATAGCAAGAACGTAAGAAATGAAAAGAAGTCATGGATAAATTGCCGGTAACTATCACAATGTCATTTATCTAAAACAAAAACAATTCCATTCCAATAACCATACCTTGTAATGTATTTCTCTATACCTTCAATCATACCTTGTAATCTGTAACATTCCAATAACCATACCTTGTAATGTATTTCTCTATACTTTCAATCTCGCTCTCTGTTATTGTTGTCCCCTGCTATTCCCCAAGCCTCAAATCATTCATTTCCTACTGCAAATGTGTCGTCTGCTACAGCTTACCAGTTGTCTCCCACTCGAGATAATCTTCAGAACATTAGATACCTCCGCTTTCTTGAAGCTGTTCCCTGATATTGTTTCATCAAGCAGAGATATGCACCCAAATCCACGATCAAATCAAGACCAAAACAATCATTATGTGGATGAATCCATTTTAAAATTTAGGTAAGGTCACTTTCTGAACGTCTTAAGGAAAGACAAAGTTATGTAATGTGAATATTTTTTAAAAATTTCGCACCTTGTGCTAAAACGCCAATATTGGCAATTTTTCTTTCAGTTATATGACAATCGTAGAAGATGTAGACATTAAATTATCATGTTTTTGAGAGTGGACTTAAATACTCTTATTCAATACCCTTGAAAGGTTGAAGTTTCAATAAAAAGTGTTTATATTAGATTCAGAATATACTCTTTTTAAGAATAACTGCTTTTGATAGATCTGCATCTTTGAGGAATTTCAAAACTGAAATGCCTGTTTCTGGAAAAATGGGCACATTAAACGACATTTTAGGAAATTTATTTATGACTTAAGAATTTATAACTTAAACGTATTGCTCACTTAGGACTTTACAGGAAACTTTGGACCTTATGTCAAATCAAATTTGTAACTTTCCGTCACTACTAAACTTTTCGGAATAAGCAGCATGGAAAATTAACGCCGGGACTCAAACCACATGTCTTCCATTTATTAACTAAATATATTAAGTGCTTACACCAGGATGACACGTGCAAAGGGATGCGCTAACTTCTTACAAGCTTCTTATTGCTTCTTAGAAACTATTAAAAATGAAAAGAAAGTAATAAACATTTTTGTTTTCTTGGTTACTTTTTAAACGCATTGGAAAAAAGGGCGAATGGAGACTTGCGAAATCTAATACTTCTGTTTTTTTCCAGAACTATTAACGGAAAATGAATAATTATTCAAAATAAGTAAGAAATCGTTCCCCCCCCCTTCCTTTTCAACACATTACTTTGTGCCTTAACTGCTTTTCCTTTTGAGTAATCAAATTTATTTTCTGTTTTTAACAGTGCTAATTGGAGGATTAAGTTTCTAATTGTTTGACTTGTTTTCTTTGCTTTAATTCCTTCAGAATTACAATTTAGCATGTTTTTTACAAGTAAAACTATATTTAGAAAATAAAGTCTGACTTTTCTATGCTTTATGACCGAAGTGTCAATTCGTAAAATAATATCACTTATCCT